GATCGTGCTGAAGAGCTTCTTGAAGATGATGGTCGCGGCTTCTTTTCCAAAGTCTTCACTCCCTTGTCCTTTGCCCTCGACGGGGTCCGAGGTGCCTGAAAACCAGACGCTTCGGATCGTCGTTCTGGAGCCTTGCTCGTCCTCGAACCTGTGGATGTTGGACGCGAAGGCGTGGATGCTCTTGGTAGACTCTTTGCTTTTGCTTTGGGAACTGCCTTTGCAATGGCAAGCGCAGAAGATTGACCTTTGTCATCTTCCGTGGAGCTATCAACGGATTGCACCACTGTGTCATCAGCTGTTGACTCACCAACGGCTGGCGCTGCCACATCGGCACCGAAAGTCATTGTCGTATCTTGACTTGATCCCGAGTTCATTGTGGTCGTAGTAGATCAAGTAGTCTTTGCTGCAGAAAGGCAGAGCCGCGTACGGCTGATAACCTGCGTGGGGATTTGATCCTGGTAATGTTCTCTATCGCTCACCCCACAAAGAGCTGTATTGACTGTTGGCGTGGTTGCCTTCTACAAGCTGGATCACCGTTACTTCCACTTCCACACACGCACTCCTATGCAGGCAGATCCAACGTTCGCTCGTTTTGCACACTCACGGCCGGCGGTGGATTGTCTGTGCACGGGATAGCTCTGTCTACTCGGAGGATCACAAAAGATTATAGCACTTTAGCTATGGGGCAATGCTTTCTAGAGCTTGTGCTCATTCTTGAGCCAAACGTTGCATGGGCGGTCATACTGAAAGGATGGATAGGCATTGCGGTGTGCGTAGCACTACCACAAGCCTACTCCCAGAGACGAGGGACGCGTGGCGTGCCCCCTTCCCTTGCACTTTATACGGTCTTGCTCACAGCTCTTATAGTGACACCTTAGAACTTGACAAGGCATCGCAGTCCGTTCGCACATACAGGCAATGCAGCAGCCGAGTGTATTCGCATCGCCAGCCCCGCCTGCGCAGCGGCTATGACCGGCTCCTGCTTGATTTGCTGGTCTGAGGCCTCGTCATCCAAGGCACAGTCAGCACAACACAAACCAGCAGGATCCCAAGAGAAGTGAATAATGCAGAGCCCCAGGCCCAGCCCCGCCCCGTAAATACCGATGCACTGCCGACCCTCCCACCCTGGATTATGCACTTTCCCGTGGCCTGTGCTGCTGCTGGGAAGTAGCAGCAAGATCCCGACTCTGGCTAGGCAGCACGAGAAACGAATAATGCAGAGCCCCAGGGCCAGCCCCGCCCCGTAAATACCGATGCACTGCCGACCTTCCCACCCTGGATTATGCACTTTCCCGTGGCCTGTGCTGCTGCTGGGAAGTAGCAGCAAGATCCCGACTCTGGCTAGGCAGCACGAGAAACGAATAATGCAGAGCCCCAGGCCCAGCCCCGCCCCGTAAATACCGATGCACTGTCGACCTTCCCACCCTGGATTATGCACTTTCCCGTGGCCTGTGCTGCTGCTGGGAGCAAGATCCCGACTCTGGTGGAAGGAGGCTATACTAGTCCTACTACCAGTATATATACTGGGAACAGTACTGACACCGACACTAGTTCCAGTCCAGTCTAGGCAGCACGAGAAACGAATAATGCAGAGCCCCAGGCCCAGCCCCGCCCCGTAAATACCGATGCACTGCCGACCTTCCCACCCTGGATTATGCACTTTCCCGTGGCCTGTGCTGCTGCTGGGAGCAAGATCCCGACTCTGGTGCATGGAAGGAGGCTATACTAGTCCTACTACCAGTATATATACTGGGAACAGTACTGACACCGACACTAGTTCCAGTCCAGTCTAGGCAGCACGAGAAACGAATCATGCAGAGCCCCAGGCCCAGCCCCGCCCCGTAAATACCGATGCACTGCCGACCTTCCCACCCTGGATTATGCACTTTCCGGTGGCCTGTGCTGCTGCTGGGAAGTAGCAGCAAGATCCCGACTCTGGCTAGGCAGCACGAGAAACGAATAACGCAGAGCCCCAGGCCCAGCCCCGCCCCGTAAATACCGATGCACTGCCGACCTTCCCACCCTGGATTATGCACTTTCCGGTGGCCTGTGCTGCTGCTGGGAAGTAGCAGCAAGATCCCGACTCTGGCTAGGCAGCACGAGAAACGAATAATGCAGAGCCCCAGGGCCCAGCCCCGCCCCGTAAATACCGATGCACTGCCGACCTTCCCACCCTGGATTATGCACTTTCCCGTGGCCTGTGCTGCTGCTAGGAAGTAGCAGCAAGATCCCATCTAGGGTACAGGTACATTCCTGTACATGTACAAAAAAACTATACCCTGTACCTATGGTACCTTACAGAAACTGAATATAACTGAATGCATGATCTCGTCCCCAACCGAGATCACGACGTCAGGCCATGTGATCTCTCGCTTGATGGCTTCTCCCTGGACCAAAGCCTGGGAAGGTGGCTTGTTGTGCTCGTACACCCTTACATAGCAGATAGCAAAGAGACGATGTGGATTCCAAGCCTCGGGTGAACCGGCTGTCTCATCGGTCTGATCCTGCAAGAAGCCAGGTTGCTAGGACCCTGACACAGTGATGAAATGGAGTCTGAACATGTGCGACTTGTGCAACAAGCTGCTACAGCCACCTCGCGAGGCACCGGTGGAGAAGCTGCAGAAGCCTCAGCTCCTGACCAAGATAAGCCTACATCGGAAGCCGACCACCAAGTGAAGAAAAAACCCAAGGAAACCTGGCCTCCGTCATGGGGAGCACTTCGGGTGTCCTGACAAAATACGACAGGGCAGTTCAGTGCAGCACCATGTAGTTCATGCACACCACTTGCTCTGCCACCTTTTCGCTTTCGTGGATTTCGGCCAGGAACGTCTCTAGGATAACCCCCCTCTCCCAGATACGAAGGCCATCAGGAAAGGTCAGCAAAGTGCACGAACCGCATCATGGATACTTGGGCTTCCTCTCGGTGCTCTGCCTCGGCTCCTCTGGTCCTGGAGTCGTAGCTGACTGCTTCTCCTGGTCTTCGGATCTGGCGACAAGCCCTTCTCCGACTCCTTCTGTGGACTTGGGGACGGAGAGGAGCACGATGGCGACCTAGGTCCCACCGGTCCCCACTGGATGTAGAGGTCCACGGAGAGGTGGGCCACCTTCACACGCCTCTTCTTCACAGGTGAGGCTGCATCCCACAGACGATGCTTTCTAGGTGGGGTCGCCATCTCGAGCCAGAACGTGCTATATGCAGAAACCTGTTCCTGTGAGGTGCATGCAACCTAGAGTCTGGAGATGCCAGAGCAGCCACTCGAAAGCAATCCAAAGCAGCTCCTTGTCCAAGCTCGTGGCCACATCCACGGAGCTATCCTGGGCACAGCAAGAGCAACGATCCGAGGCACACAGACACACACTCTCAGACCACACGCACAAGGGAGAGCTGCTATCAAGCCGCCCTGAGCATGTCCTCGATCATCCCATCACCAGCCTGAAGGAGGCACGAGGAAAGGGAAGTGGGCAGGCAACGACAACCAAGCACGAGCTGATGATGCTCGGCCTTGTCCCGATCCAGCGGAGATTCCTGTTCCTGAGGACAAGAGAGCCACGGGAGTGGAGACAAGCAACAACAGGCTGCTGCCAGGCCTTGTCCCGCAATGCCATGGCATGCGATGCATCCACTGGAGCTTCGAGCACCTTGGAAGGGCAGAGATACCGGACAGGGGCAAAGACGATCAAGCACGAGCTGATGATGCTCGGCCTTGTCCCGATCCAGCGGAGATTCCTGTTCCTGAGAACAACAGATCCACGGGAGTGCAGACAAGCAACAACGGCCTACTGAGTACTGCCAGGCCTTGTCCAGTAATGCCATGCAAAGCGATGCATCCACTGGAGCTTCCAGTGCCTGGGAAGAGCAGAGCTACCGGACAGGGGAGCAAGCAGCACCACGATAGCAAGCGCGGACGGACCTCCAAGGGCACACGAAGATCATCTGTCCCAACCTCAGTCGGACACGAGACCAGGCCCACAACAAAAGCCCCGACACAGAAAGAACTGGCCGAGATAAGGACCTTGTCCTTGCTCGTGGGATCCCCAACCTGGCCATCCAAAGCCTGCAACGGGAGATGGGTTCATCCAAGTCCAGCACCCAGGTTCAAGGCCCAGACACCAGGCTTCGAGGGTGCATCAGAGGACACCTGTGCCAAGATGCCCGAAGTACCCTTCAAAACAAACGAGTCCAAGGCAGCGGCCATGTGTCCCAATGGCACGTCTGGCAGAGCAGGATGTGCCGGGACCTGACAGTAACTGAAGCCCAAATCCGGAACTTAGCAGAAGCTGACCAGGGTCCAGGCCACTGGCACCGGACCTTCCAGACCATCCTGATCACACACGAGAAGCTGCACGAGGTCCAAGCAATGGGGATCGCAGCCGACGCAGGACCCGGACGAGGGGTTTGCAGGGGTTCGAGGTTCGAGGTTTTTGCTCTGGGGTTCGGGCTCAGGGGTTTTCGGGCTGGGTTTTGGGTTTTGGGTTTGGGGTTCGGGATGTGGTGTTTGGGGTTCAAGGAGTTGGGGCTTTGGGCTGGGGTTTCCAGGTTTCGGGTTTTGGGCTTCGGAGGGAAACTTAAGAGGCTTACAGGACCTAGGACCAACCCCTACAGCACGCCAGGACCAATGTTTTCCGAGGAAGACAAAAGAAAGAACGACTGGCTCGAGGCTGCTGTGTGCACCTTCGCCCCAACATCGCAATCGCTATATCCCGGCCTATGCCAAGGCTGCGAGCCCGAAGTTATTATCCTGTTAGCTTAGAACTACCCGGCACACAACAGCCCCGCCCCGATGTGAAACTCACCCCTCTGTGCGTGTGTGTGTCTGCTGCTGCCGCTGCTGTGTCATGCTGTGTGCTGTGGCTGTGTGGCTGTGTGTGAGCTGTGTGTGTTGTGTGTGCTGCTGCTATGGTGTGTGTGTGTGTCTGTGTCTGTGTCTGTGTCTGTGTCTGTGTGTGTGTGCTGTGTGCTGTGCGGTGTGTGTTGTTCCATGTGCTACCGCATCCCTCGCTCACACCCGCAACAGCGGACGGCAACCAGCCGCCCACTCTTCATCGCCTTCTTCTCCTGCGTCATCGTTCTTCTTCTTGTCATCATCTCCTCCGTCATCGTCCTTCTTCTTGTCATCATCCATGAACTGGACCGCCACGGCAATGCCAGTCACGACCCCAGGGATGCCATCACAGCCGGGCTCCTCGAACTGACGAATGAGGCCATCCAGAGTCAGGTTCTTGTGCACGGAGTGGTCGCAGATCACACGGCCATCATGCGCCGAGACCATCACAACCTCCTTGTGCTGGGGGCTGATAGAAGGGGTCAGCCCCCTCGTCCGCCACTCGGACCTGCCATTCTGCAGGCCGGGCTTCTTCATCATCGCCGTCTTGGCCTTCATGGACTTCATGGCCTTCATGGCCTTCTCGCTGGCCTTCATCGCAGCCATTGCTTTCATCGCCTTGCTGGCCTTCATGGCTTTCATGGGGCCCTTTGTGGCTTTCATGCCCTTGCTGGCCTTCATGACCTTCATGGCCTTGTTGGCCTTCATCGCCTTCGACTTTGCAGCAGGCTTCTTCATGGGAGCAACCCAATCCTATGCAGCTGCACGACGAAGGCAGAGATCAAAGCAGCCAGGATGCGATGGCGAGGCTCCCTCACGACGACATGTTAAAGGATTTACGTATCCGAATGTAAGTCAAACCTACACAGCAGATTTCATGATTTCTCCGACCTAGAGGATCTAAGCCATAAGTTCACAGTTTGGCTTCGTACTGACAAAGGATCCATGGGCCAGAAGTTAGAAGTTCAGTAGGCTCAGTAGGCCATGTGTTTACAGTTAGGAGTCAGACTGATCCATGATGGCAATCAAGCATGCGCTGCCGTCTTGAGCAGTCACTTCGCACGGTTAGCAACTGATCCTGCACAGCACTACTGTCGCCAGGAAGTGACGCACTCAGAAGCCCGTACTCAACGGATCCTGCACAAAGTCCAGCACAGCACCATAAGCCCTAACCGTAAAACCCCAGTTCCCGAACCCCAACAAACTGGGGCGCACCTGCGACTCGGCAGGCTTGTCCCCAACAGATGGATCCTGGCACGAGTGTTCCGTATTGGGGGTTTGTGAGGGCCTAGGGTTCAGGGTGTCGCATCAACCGGCACACGCCAACTTGAGCTCGGGCCCAGACAACCGGAACCAAAGAAGAAGAGACCTCCCACATCAGTGAGCCATTCTAGTTTCTCCCGGGCAGATAGGACCTAGGCCCGGACGCCCCGCTCGTCGATCCCCAGCGAGCGGGAAGCCTGCCAACAAAATCAAACACCACGGCCTAAATCCTTCTCTCGGACAGATCACGCTCCTGGCATGTTCCGGGCTCACGGTAAAAATCGTCGAGATGCACACACTTAAGCACACACACACACGCACACACACCGAAGCATGAAGCAGATGCACTCAGCAGGAAGGGCCCGCACTCCGGTCGAGGGCGAAGCCAACGTGTTGGTTGCAACCTCAGGTGTTCGGGCATCAAACTCCGGCCTGCCATGCGCTTGAGAGCCAAGCCTGGGCCGCTTCGGCATGTGAAGTCGCAATGTCCTCAGGCGTTCGTGAGTTAAGGAAACCAACCGCAGCGATGAGGCCCGGGCCTTCAAAGGTGTGATGTTCTCGAGCGGGTCCTTGTCCTGGCATGTCCGGGGCTCATATGGGCTCATGTAACACCGAAGCAAAGAAGAAACAAAGCAAAACTCCTTCAGTGGCAAAGCTGAAGCTGCTCGCGGTTGCAATGCGGTTGTCGATGGAGACTCCTGCCACATTGACAAAGGATGGTCTCATCCCGCAACAGAACACAGGATAAAGGGCCTCCTCCTGTAGTGCAGGTACCAATGCATCCTTCGCCGACAAGGTTGCAACACCCACACAAACACCAACCAAGGATTCTGATCAACAAGAACCCGTCCTGTGCATGTGCCACAGTGCTCGCAGCATCAGGTGCGGGGGGCTAGCAACAGAGATTCATCGAGAAATGTTCAAAGATCCGAACCGGTCCGCAGCAATGTCACGACCCCCGCCTCCGATGCATCCTTCCGCTTCTGCTGCTCCTGCGAAATGCAACACATCCAGAATGCCCCACAAAATTCCCAGTCCCGAAACTCGTGCCGAGCTCTCTCAAGGGCTGCGGCAGCGGGAGGTCGGGTGCTCTTGATCCAGGGAACTCGGCCTCCAGGCCTCGCAGAAGGCTCCATTGTAACTGTGAGTAACTGTGCAGCAAACGGCTAAGGAACTCAATGTCGAGCCCCCGGCGTCCAATGATCGTGATGACTGGCTCGTGTCATTTGGCCATTCTCTGACATGAAGAGCGCGGAGCATCTGCTCAAGGGAGACCCGGAAATGTGGATGCAACGCACGAACGGAGCACAAAAAGGCCTGCATCGCCAAACCCGCAGATTGGTGTCCCACAGCGGTGCCAACAAGTCATGCCCGCAACCTGCCACAGCCTGGGCGAGCCAAATGTAACTTCAGCGAAGGGTCCCAAACCAGCCGCATATGTTGAGGGGCTGGCACACACCGTCGGAGGAGACACGTCGAAACGAGGAGCATCCGCCGGCGCCGAGGCCGCCGGCACCAGCCGATTTTTTGGAGCCATGCTTCTTATTATGTCCTACCCAGCATGAGATTCCTGAGGTTGCCTAGTTTGTTGCTTAAGTGTGGGCTGGGTTGCGCAAAATCCCCGTGCCGTTAGAGTGGCTTACCACTTAGCTCCCCCAGTGCCGTACTAGTGGCTTATGGTTAATATTCCTTCGCGCCCTGCCCTATTATACTAGAAACCCAAATGCCGTCATAGTGGCTTACAGACCCCTCCCCCACTGCCGTTAGAATGGCTTAAAATCCTATATACAATGATGCACTCTGCTGATGCCTGCGATCTGCTCGTGTCGTGTCAGGAAATCTGCTATGCTGTGTTTTGCTCTGCGGCCACAAAACGAGAGCAACCCATGAACCGTGGTACCTGTGATCAAAAAGTCGTCGCCGGGTGCGCAGCAGAATCACGCATCGTCGAAACCTGCTCTCTCTTTCTTCTCTCTTTCTTTCTGCTGCCCTTGTTTCTTCACATCATAAAAGAAAAGGATACGGGGAGCAGTGAATGAATATGCGATCTACTGTCACCTATACTATTACACACCACCCCAGTAAATGCATAATGGGACCTTCCACGTCCGACTGGGCATTATTCTGCGGTTTTGCTCCCGACAGGCGATAATGCACAATCCAATTGCCTACTGGACCTTAGGTACCCCCATGAGGCATTTAGTTAAGGGTGGGGGATGTCTTCAGTTGTGCAGGTGTACGCTGCGGCTGTTGCCTAATAGCGGTTCTGCTGTCGGTTATACTGACCCCTTGAGGCGGGGAGGGAGCCTCAAGGCAGGGGGGCCCTAATCGAGCGAGCGGCCTTGCGAATTGATCAGGGAATAAGTTGGTGGAAGGTTCCCCCCCCCGCCCTCTAGCTTGGATCCTGATATATCCGGAGCCAAGGCCCCTGAACTCCCGCAAGGGGTTGAAGGAGCTAGATTTCGCGAAACACGTGCTTTGGATTCCGGGCCTGAGGTACAGGTAGCCGTCTGCATGGAGTCGCGCACGGAGCTGGTGGCGAACCCGGACTGCAAGGTGCACGTTCGGGTCTTCCGCGAGCTTCCGAGCCAAGCTCGTGGAGTCCCTCCGCGACAGGACCAAACGACTGAGCTGAGTAGGCCTTTTAGCGCAGTTTCTCTGCCTAAGCTGTCCCAGCCGCGCCGAACCCAGCACGTACGACCTAAGTGGAAGGCTCCTTGGAACATTGACATTGCACAGCTGCCTGCCAACGCAGCCAAGCAGCTTCGAGCCAAGCTGCGCCCTGGAACCATTGTGCAGCTTGTCAACACACATAAGTATAGGGCATACATGTTCAGTATGCGGCTGGCTATCTACAGGTGTTTCCAGTGCTACTAGTATCCGAGAGAGCTGCCGTGGCAGTTGGAGTGGCTCTACCACACATGTGACAAGATGTGACACGGTTCGTCACCCTTGAACTGGCAAGGCTGCGCGATGCATAAGTCGAACCTCAGGCTGCCAACATCCTGTCCTGGGAGAGCTTCTCTCTTGCGGTCTTAAACCTACTTATCGCACACACATGTGGACGAGCCCTGCAGCCCCATCATCGTGCAATAGCGTCACAGCGCACGTGCTCTCACCTGCCAAGTCGAGATGTGCTTCCATGGGCGAGATTTACAAGATTCCCATCGCCTAACTCGCTGCACATCTGCAGCCCAAGGCCTTCGCCACGCCCCGTGTGCATGGACGAGTCAGATGACAGATGCATAGCGCGAGACGAGCCTCCCCTTCGGGCACGGAAAACGCTCTTCCACGCAAAGAAAGAAACTGACGGCCTCAGGATCGCAGAACTGCACAGCTACATGCTTTCACGCTTTTACAACAACGTGAAACCTGGTTTGCCCTGGCTGGGGCCCAAGCTGATCCAACTGTGAGCTCCAAGGCCTCTTCCACTGGTCTGCTGTCACATGTGAAGCAGTGTCGAGGTCGTCGGTTGCGATTTGTTATGATTTGTTGATGAGTGGACTCGCTTTGGCTCGTCCGGTGTCCTCGCTTACGATTCCGACCCAGAACCGAGGCACGGGGCTTGACACCACAGACCGCCGCTTACGCTCCGTGTCAGAAACCGGCCTCCCAGTCTTCTTGAAATAACTGTACATCACGTCCATAAACAGCCTCGGTGGCATGCTTTCTGTTGCAAAAGTGCTTGATCACAGCTGAAAGCTTGCTTGAGATACGGGCCCTGCAGGGAGCACATGCGATGAAGCCGATGCCTGGAAGGTTGCGTGGCTAACAGCGGCTTCAAGCTTGGCCACCTCTGAGGCACACACAAGCAGCAAGCTGGGAGAAAAAACTGAACATGTCATAGGTCCAAGGGCGAGACACACAATACAGCAGATGCGAATTTCGCTTCAAGGGATTTTTGGCGGATTGGGTTTTTGAACGGGAGGTCCAAGGGTCTTTCCCAAGGCAGCGGCCGTTTCGCTCAGAGTAGCGCTGCACCGTCCCGAAACAGCGCTGCCTCAGTGGCAAGTCTCGTCTCGGCAAGCGCCATCAAAGGATCTGAGTCGGGCTGCCCCTGTTCGAGCGGAGACTCCTGCCCGACAGAAGATCAACTCATGCAGGACTCCTCGTAGGCTGGGTACAGTCCTGTTCCTCACCGAAATCTGCCAGCCTGTCAATTTGGTCTCTCCCGGAGTGTGTAGAAATCCGCGCGTGGCACACACATGCCTTTTGCGATGCGAAGATGTTTTTGAGGCGTTCTCATCTTTGCTGCCTGGGACAGAAAAGGTCGCAGCGCGAAGAACAAGGCCGCTGTCGCGTTAAGCCCGAGCCACTGGGAACACTGAAGATGCAGGCGGCCTCAGTGATCTCTGCCGATTTGAGGAAAGCCCGCGGTGACGCTTTAGCAGTCTCTGCCTTTGGCTATCATCCTCGAGTACGGCCTATTGGCTCACAAACATTCCCGAGAGAACATGAACAAGGTCATCACATCAACAAGTGCACCACCATCTACACGGCTGCCAGCAACGGTCTGATCTGCGTCTGATATCTCGGTCCAAAGTCTGAGCTTGGTTTGGTTGCTGCTTTCATGGTCGCCGGTCTGCCTACACTTGTGCTGACAGTAAACAAGGAACAGCTATCCCACTCGCCAAAGCGTGTGACACCCTACAGCCTCCAGTGGGCAGAAACAGCTCTGGGCTGAGAAGTGTTGGAAAGAGACTCCATGCCTCTCAAACGGTACAACTTCTGCGAAACGTCCGCAGTCTACAGCCAGGCAAGCCACAATGGTACATTCAGTAAAAGTACCACAAAACCAGCCACGAAGCGAGTTGAGCTGCCGACAATCGCCAGTAGAGCGACGAAAACAAGAAGGTTGAGCCCTGGTCAACTTCGATCTCTGAAGAGACAGAAGAGACACAAGCAAACCTCGGGCCTAGATCGAGAGCTGGACCCATCATATGACAGCCTGGAGCTGTGAGAATGTGGGGAATCAATATGTCTGCATGTCAACGTATGCCTTGTCAAGGCACACAAGGAGATCCCATCTCTCTGCGGACTTCGCTTGAGCCCTCTCTCTCTCTCTCTCTCTCTCTCTCTCTCTCCCTTCGCCCTGTTCCCTGTCAGTGCACGAAGTTGCTACGCAATCGTGAATTTCTGACCACCCTGCAAAGAAGGGAACACAAACCATTCACGTGGGTCTTCGTAGCCTGGCTCTAACAAAGCTAACAAGCACAACACAACTGAACGGTGCTTTGCTAATTCCCGATTACCATTACAGTTCAGTGAACTTGGCAAACAGCTGGAGCCAGAGATAATCGAAGCCATGGATGGCGACGCTGCCTAGCCACACAACAGTTTGCATCCTGTTATATCAATAGTCCTAAATGTTCACCCATTTTGGGCCTGCTTGATGCCGGACATGACAGTACGGCACAGTTAATTGGCATACCTCTTTGGGCATGCCGCGCTGCACTACACTCCACTCCCCGCCTCAGATTTGTTGCTGGGATACTCTGGAGCTGGAAGCCATGGAACGATGCAAGAAGTGTTCTGCAGCAGGATTAAGCATCCATGCCAGGTGCATTGAATTATTTAGCGGCACCACCTCCACCAACAACAAGAAGAACCGCAATTGCCGAAGGACCAGTCACAGCACCAGCGCACGTGCACAAGCAGCCCCATGGCCATCACCACCTCCATAACCATCGCTACCCTCTAAATCAACATCAGAATCATCACGGCAATATCAAGAGTCCCCAATCAGAAGTTTTGTTGGGGCTGTCTTCATATTCTGTGTCATTGCTAGCACAAAGGTGCACAAAGCATCCCTCGACATGTTAAACTCCGAACTCCGAACCACCTGGACTGGCGACAACTCGGAGTCGCCCCTGCTCCCCACGCATCACTCTGCAGCATCATCGCCAGCAGCGGCAACAGCAGAAACATTCTGGTTTCCGAAACTGCATGACATGCCGTAAACACAGCCAATCCATCAACGATTGCCATGGGGACGGTAATCATAGGGATGGTAGCCGACTCTACGAACAGGGCCGGCCAACGAATGGCAGCAACAGGCACAATGATGGACCGGTGCTGGCATCCCACACTGGGCCATGCCCAGCACATGTGCGAAATGGCAGAGGGTTACGACAGAATCGGCATGAAACCGAATTAGACGCTCCCATCGACTCGAACTTTCACATCGAATGAACCTGCCCTGAAGCATGCAAGCTCACAAAGTTTCGAGGAAAACAAACGAGCACCGCTGCAAAATGTATAGGCATAGATTTACGGACAACGAGGGCAACTGTGGAGTGCACGAGAGGCTGTCACCTCGCTCCGTTCGCGAAGGGATTGGTCCCTTTCCACAGACTAGATATCCCCACCATGCCGAGCTACCAGGCACCGCCATAAGGCCCTGAATTCCGCGCTAAGTTGGTGACCCAGTCTCTGCGTTTTCTCGAAAGCGAAACCACAACTGAGATACCTGCAAAGCTCGGCCATGCCAGCGAGAGCGGAAGAGACAAAGAGAGTCTGTGTGCAAAACTCAACTGTACAATCCTAGCAGTCTCGAGCAAGAAAGACCAATCAGTTTCCCCAGTGCCACACACAGTCTAGCAGACATTCCTTTGTGACGGCAAGCCGATCAGTCCAGTCTTGAGACAATGCCATATCGGGTGCATTCTAGAATTCGCGCAATGTAACAGACAGACAGACAGACAGACAGACAGACAGACAGACAGACAGACAGACAGACAGACAGAGAGAGAGGGAGAGAGAGGGAGAGAGGGAGGGAGGGAGGGAGGGAGGGAGGGAGGGAGGGGAGGGGAGGGAGGGAGGGAGGGAAAGAGTCCTCGTGACAGGTCATCCTTGTTGATCCACGCATCATGTGACGATTGCTCGAACGATGAACTCGGAAACATGCATCAGACATCAAGTCATGCAATCGATCGTGGGATTCTTGCGCATGCAAGTTTAAGCAAATCCCTCGATGCTGGGTCCTCCATGTAGTGTCGGTACTCCGGCTCCTGGCCCCACTTCTTTGCTCCTGCCTTTTCCAATAGTGGCACGCCCGAGACCTAGAGAAACATGGCGGCACCGAACATGAGTTGCAACCAGGCAGAACTAGCTGGACTGGACGCGAAAACTGCACCACAGAGAACCCTGTGCTTAACATGTCCAGGGCAAGAAATTAAAGAAATAGAAGCAATCGCGCCGACTGTCGTGTTGGCTAAGCTGGCGACATAAATGAGGAGAAGTGCATTGAACGCAGGCGATATCCAGGCCAGCAGCTGAGCTGTGGAAGAAACACAAGATGTGAAGGACGTGCACAGACCAACCCACCTCAAGTCGGAAAACATGGACGAAGCTCCAACAAAAGGGTGCAAAGAAGCTCCAAATGCAGCAGATGCACATCAAGATTTCCCCAAAGTAATTCGGATGTCGCGAGTATCTCCATAGACCTGTCGTAATGAAGCGTCCCCGATTTGATGGATCTCCTCGAAAGGCAAACTTTTGGCCATCTGCGACCTCGGTCGCCAGGTCCAGCCAAGCATGGGTCTAGGCAGCCAGGCGCAATCCCTGCCTTGCCCTGCCCTGGGGCTAGCACAGCCTCCAGCAAAAAGCCAGAGCACCACAACGACCAGCCCAGCACATCCCAAAGACCAGTGGGTGGTTGAGGCGACGTGTTTACCAGCATGACCTTCAGTTTTGCCAATGATAAAACAAGGCCAAGCTGTGCACTCAACTGCCTGCACTCGCACAGGCAGGTGTTAATGCTTTCAAGCCTCTGGTAGCTCAAGAAGGAAGACCCATAATACCTGCAAGTTCCAAGCGATGGAAAAAGACCAGAACTCCTCCTTCAATTCCGTGAACCTGGAATCCTGCACAGCATTGCGCAGCACAGCATTATCTTGAGCCGTTGTTGAGGTCCTTCGAGTCTTGGGAAATGCGGTTGAAGAGAAAGGTTCCGAGCCGTGTACACCACACGATCGCGAAGATGCTCAAAAGGATCTGGCGAGGGCTCCGAACTGGATCATGAAGGAGACCCGCCAGAATAATCGACAGATGTGTCAGCGAGCCTCCGGATCCGCTGCAGCACACCTACACTCTGCTTCAACGAATAAACTTGCTTCGTCACAACCCGTGGCTCATGGCCTGAGGCATCATACAGCTTCTCGGAACCTCGGACACTCCGCAATGCTTCGAGGCCGTGCATGTGTCGCATACGCGTGCGGCAGTTCAGAACAATTCAGAACCAAGCAACGTTGTGGCCAACCCTGTAGTAGGAAGAAGCCCCACTGCAGCCCGAATGCAATCAGTCCGAAACTGGGAGGAAGAACCAGAGTCGTCGTCAGAGCAACAACGACCGCCAGGCTAACAAAGGTGACCTTCACGACAGTATTTGAGCCGGCTCAGAAGAGTCAACCATCCATAAAAGCTCTGGCACTCTGGCAGACACTGGCAGAAGCAGGCTCTAGACTCTAGAACTGCTTAGGCCGAAAATGTTAACGTTTCAGGAACTTGTCCATTGTGTTGCATGCAAGCGGCCACCAATCCGCGCCCGAGCTTGGCCTTGGACGGCTTGGCGTCGTTAGGCGAACTCCGCATCACCCATTTCGCGGCGGAAGATCTCGACCCATTGCGCCATGGCCATGGCAGAAAGCTCCTTGAGCTCCTCGAAGTCAGCCTTTCGCGGAGTGACGACCCGTTGCCATCTCTCTGAGTGATGCCGGACGTAGAGCGCACCGTAGAGCCCCGCAAGGAAGGCCGCAAGATCAGCAGAACCATCTCTCTACTCACTTCATATTAACCTAGGGTCTTCTTCTGCAACACAACTGCCGATAATACATCAGAAGACAGTAGAAGACTTAGATGTAAGTGTACTGCTATACAAACGCTGCCAGGCCCTGCTATGCTCTCTTGAAACGGCCAGTACATCGTCAACACTGCTGCATTTTGCCACATGAGGATAAGCCTACTAGGTCCAAACGTCTTGAATGGCTTGATTGTCTGGAGTGTTTCCTCCTCAACGCAGGCACTGCAGGCTCATAGGCTCAACCAATGCCTCTTCAGGCCTCCTTGGGATGGCCTTCGTAAAGTGACACGGGTGAAACCAAGCAAGCGATTGCTCACACACGTTTCAGGTTTGACACAAGGCCAACACAATCAATGTATACATATATATATATATATATATATTATGTTATATATATATATATATGTATATATATGTATATATATATATATATATATATTCTAAATATACATATATATATATATACATACATACATACATACATATATATATATGTGTGTGTGTGTGCGTATATACAGTAAATGTATACCTTACAAGTCCTATACGGCCCAAATCCATTTTGCAACAACTTTCGCGGATACTTGTTTTCTTTTTCGCGGACCCATCGCGGATCTTTCGCTGACACATGTTAAAACCGTTTTCTGTAAATGCCAACACAAGGACCTTTAGATCAATGCTCATTTATTTATTCATCTATTTACATGTTGAGTGTGTATCCCGAAGCCCCAGTTGTGAGAAACCCACATTACTCAGTTCTAAGAAACCTCAATCACAGACCTGGAACGCGTGTTCCTCACGCGATGTTCCTCAGGTTCGGGCAGCGATGCACGTAGACTTCTGACCCTACACAAGCTGGCCACTGCTTGAGGCTGCCCACCACTTGCGAAGAGTCTCGTCAGTCATTTCCTGGTTCGGTAGCTAATGGAAGCTGATGACAGAAATGCAGGCACCTGTCAACTCAGAAAAATCCGGAAGCCTTGTCGACTTCGTGGCACCGGAACCTCGACCTGTGCTCATCAACCGTCAGGCTCATTCAGAATATCAGAACCAGCCATCTGTGCGCGAATCTACGCATGCTCATTCAATTTTTGCAGTCCCCGAAGTATTTCACAAGCTCTGGTGGCTTGATGTCCTCTACTTCAACACTCCAGCTGCTTCTACTAGCTGAAGGATGGAGGCAGCCTGGCGTGAAAGATCTAACCGGAACGACGTGATATCCACATCTGCAGACCCACCAGACTGCAACTTGGCAATCAACTCCTTCATGGAAAGGAACACCGGATGCTCCTGAAGCACTGCCTGATCATCTGCACTGAGTTTCTTAAACTCGAGCTGCATGGTCAACCACTCTCTGTCGTATGAGCCTAGCTTTCCGGCCACATCTTGTTCCAGTCTTCCTAATTGCTTAGCTGCTTGGGCGTCCCCTCGGCGATTCACCCTTATGGTGGTGATGGACGCGCTCTTGATGGCATCAGCCAGCTGCTTCGCATCCCGAGCATATGCTGGTGGCAGTGCTGGCAGCTCGCGCTTCAGGAGCAGGGCCTTCTCATCTTGAGCCTTGGCCTGCTCTGCAGTGAACAAGACCACGTACAAAACGTGTCGTCTCTGCTTTCTGGCAAGCACCTTCTCACGGGAATGGCCTGTGGCCCACATGAAGTCCAAAGAAAGAAGACCCCACGTGGACAACATGATCAATCCTAGCCATTTGCACATAGCCATCCGGCGCAGTTCTGACATTGGCCAGGGGCGTTGTTTAAACCTTCAAAGGGCTGCAGCTCCAAACCCTTTGGCCTGAATCACTTTGTGACTTGCGAAGCTTCGAAGGTTCGGTGCTGCTTCCACGATTGAATGTAGGCTTCGCAACAGTCTGTTGATAAAGGCCGAAAAGGCCACCGATGTGACAAACACACTCGCACATATGCACTGACCACTGAGAGCCCAGGCCGGCCCGGTCGCTTTCCACTCGTATCCAGCCCCGTCTGTCGCTTCTGTGCCGATCTGATTGTGTAGCCACGACCTCGGCTGCGACACCTCTTCATGAGAACACGACGCTCAACATTGAGTAGGTCTCTTGTCTCACAGAGGTACTCACAGCGGTTTCAACGATGACAAGAAGTCAAAACGAGAAACCATTGCGAGATGGGGAGTTACCGCCAGGTTATTTCACAACCTCATATGAAAAAAACCTTGGGGCGATTTCCTTGCAGCCCTGGAAACATGTTGCCTCCTGCATTGCTGAGCGAATCACCAGGCAACAAGAAGCCTGTTGGCCACGGTGTTTTCCAAGGCAGGTTGCAAAACAAACTTGAATCTGCAAAAATACAAGTTAAACAGGCATCTGCTGGAAGCTCTAACAACAGTTGCCATGCAGCCTCGGATGACCGATGAAAATTAAGCAGGGCATGGAGCAGCTGCTTTCGGTAAAAAGAGGTAGTTGGTGTGCAGTACGGAAACCCTCGCGCAAGCAGTTCGCTCAGCACGAATATGCTACAGCGTACTGCAGATTGATCGTGAATAGCTCAGAAACACAGAACGGACCCCGACTCATAAAGCCTGCTTGATAGCCCGGTCATGAACCTTTGGACTTCGAAACCTCCAGGATGGGAGCCTCAATGCTCTCGAACATAAGGCTGCACTTATGATGAAGGGTACACACTCTAGGACAACAGGATGGCTCTATGATCCACAAATTCAAGCCGCTACACAGCACACTGTCAGATTGGACATGGGCTTGCATGAGAACCACCGTCATCAACTGAGGCTTCTTGTCATCGTTTCCCGCAAAAAAAAAACTGTTGCTTGAGGGAAATGGGGCGAACACTTAAACGATGAGGCGCGAGGTTAATCACAACCCCAGTTGATTCATGTGATCCCCCAAGTAACGGCAACTTCGTCCGTTCTCGAGGGGTACAGGCATATCGTTTTGGTTCCACAATCTGTAAAGTTGTTTCAGTGGGTATGTTTGTCGGATGCAAGTGTCCTGAAACTATTGCTTATGCTTGCTGGCTAGCGGCCAGATGCATCGAAGGACACTTTTTTCCCTGCTTGAGTGTCCGCCTGTATGGCGGCACCCCCGCAGCGTCGAGTAAGCAATCCGATGGACATGCTTTCAACAGCCTTTGGGCCGAACAAGTCCCCGTGTGGGAGGGAGGGCAAAAAGAGCCATGGGGAAGGATGCAATGACTCCCCACGTGCAAACATGCTTATGCTTGCTCGGGTATCCGTCTCTATCTCGTAGCCCCCACACCGTAGAGCAAGAAAGCGTGCAGCGTGCACGGTCCGATGATCTCGGATGAACATGTTTTTAAAGGCCTTTGACCAACGAAGTCCCCACCCCCATATCGGAATGGCTCATCGATGGAAGTGGGTGGTCGCTTTGAAAAAGATCCAGTCAGCACAAAGTGGAGCCAGTAAACGAAGATTCGATGAAGCCCTTCAGGAGCGCCTTCGCGAACTGCTCAGGAAACACTTGTGGTCGCTCGGCAACCATCTTGGCTCCTGCAACCCCTGTAAGCTGCAAAGGTTTCCTGCCAGTGCATGCGACCGCGCAGAGTTGCAGTGGAAAGGAGATGACAGTTCCGAAAAAAAGTGACCTTCCTCCATTGCACGCCGCACATGCGCATGTGGACCTTTTTGAAGTTCACGCGCTTGTCAAGAGCAAGATCATGACAGACTGCCATGTATTGGATGTCAAAGGATTCTCCAGGTAGGCAGCCGGGAATACTCATTCGAATAATCATGCTCACACCGATCAACATGTTATTCGCTTTGGCGACTAATCGATCCTGAAGTCGTAGCCAGGAATCGAACTCTCATTTTTTCGTTGTAAGGGTCGAGACGTTCTGGAGTTAGGCGGACCTCTTCGTGCGCTACTCCCGGTATTACATAGGATGTCTAAATGCCAACGAAATGGAAAAGCGGCGACGCTGAGCAAAGAATGTTCCACGATGAGAGACGTCCACGATCACGTATGGCATCAGTCGTAGTATACAGAACTGCCGATTCCCCCCCTGCTTCCGCGAACACCCTATCTGAATCAACTGCTCCGCCGAAGAGGAACAGGAACCTCTTGCCGTGGAGATCGCCCATGCCCTTATCTGCAGTGGCCACCGGGAACGAGGCGGGCAGATCTCGCGCATGCGTGCCAAGAAGGTTTGCCTATCGACCATGCTGTCGCTGGTCGGCGCAAGGGGGCGCTTGCGAGGTCGGAGCTGCGGGAACCTCTTCTCCACAGTCCACGACATTGATATGGCAACACATGGTTGCGCAACGTGGCAAGCTCCGTCGCCAGCAAGGCATGGAAGCCGCACGAAAAAGTGACTCGCAACCGTCGCCAACCAGCTGTCGCATCGCAGAGACGACAGGGCGAGTGTGAACGGTTTGATTCGCTTCGGCGGGTTTGTACTGCTGGTTTTCGAGCTTAGCGCGCTCATGGCATTACCGAGCGACAGGGGGTGTATTGTCACGCCTTCAGGGCTTGTGGCGCCTGCCACGTTTTTTTTTTCGCAAAGCTTCCGCCATGATTCATGACGTAAACGAGAGTATTGAGACAGGTCCGGAGACCCTGTGGCTGAAGACGTGCACGTCGCTCTTGTCGTTGTCCTTCTTCGTGCCAGCTGTTTTGGTTTTCTCCACGAGTTGTGCATGAATCTGCTTGGCACGAAGGCGGCTCTTGGAGACTAGATGCTCATGAGCACTCCGTATGATACGATGCTCGTGCACCGGCATCTTAGCGTGCGTGTCGTGGCGGCGGAAGCGGCCCGTGCCGCAAGCGTTCAAACTTGACTCTTAATGATGCTGTCACTACATGCATGCAAAATTCTGCATTCACGAATTTGGCCCGAACTTCGAAGCAAAATGCTGAATCGCCTTGGATTCTGAAGAGCGAGTACTTTCATACATGCCTGTGTCTGTTCGTGATTCATGTCCTTGTGACCGGCATGAGTATCACGAAGCAGTGGGGCGAAGATTTCAAAATACTTGCCCTACTGTGTTGCACTCAGGGGCACGATTGCTTGTACTTGGCTGTCTTCTCCTGTCGTCTTCCTCCTCATCCATGTCTTGTAGCATTCTGAGCTCTGTGCTGCTAATCGCAAGCGAGCATCTTGCCCTCTTAGGATCCGTGCACATGCTTCTGCGCGTTCAACATCCACTCACTTTGCACCGCAATGCCGGCGAGGATTTCCTCTCGGCTACGACACTGCAGTCACATCACAGGATCCTGCTCATGCCACGCCGATCCGTCCAGCCTACCTGCGCTCCGTCCCTATGCTCCCCTTGCATGTTTTCACTCTTGCTCCTTCACGAGATTCCTGTCTTCGTCACTGGGAACCTCACAGCAGCAAGAATGTGACACAGAATGACACAGGAAAGCTCAGATGTCAGGTGCGCGTGCCTCGAAGCCTTTTCCCATCCAGCCACGTTTCTTGAGCTTCATGAGGTCCATCATGATCTGTTGCCCAAACGCTCAGAGGTGCCGTGCCCGGCAAAGGTGCTTTGCTTGTGGCAGGAGCCTCTTCAAGGCTGATATGGATTGCCGCGACCATTTGCACGGTATACGTTGGGTCGATGCCCGCTCGCTGGATCACCTGAGTCTGCGCACGTTTGGAAAAAACGCAGAGAAGAATGTGTTATTGTGTGATTGTCTGAGTGTGAGAGTCATGCCGCGAGTGAGGGGTCGACCCTTGTTCGATTCCTCGCCCCATCGCAGAGGAAGCTTAGCCTCGCATTGAAGTACAAGCCGCGAGCCTTCGCCGAAGCGAGGCGGAACGAACTTTTATCTTGGGGGCCCCCACTGGAAATCGGGCATGTTCGGATACGCCTGTTTTCGATTGATCTTGTCACAAGACGGTCGGCTTTCCTGCTGGTATTTGACCTCCAGTATGTCATCCACGATGATGGTCTCCGGCATCTCTGCTACACGCTCCCACCTCAGACACTGTTCTGGAAGCCAGGTGAAGACATGCCAGAGGGGGCAAATACAAGACATGCTGGTCAACTTGCAAGTAAGCTTCCATGAACTGCAGGACTGAGTCTCGAGCAGCTCTCTGTCTGGAACCTTCCAGCATCGATCAAAATAAACAAGTTAGAATGGGCGACACCTCTGCTGACATTTACAGCGCAAGCAGTGACAGCTGAGGACGGTGCCCAGTTCTTGAAGTATAGTGCTCTTTTGAACAGGTACGTGCCTGCAACTTCACTCAGTGTTTGCTCTACGTGCTGAATTCGATGAATGGCTCGATCTGTACAAACCGCAAGTTACCTCGCCTGCTGGCAGCTCAAGTTGCACAGGCTGCAGTGCAATGACTCAACGAAACATTGAGGCACCAGCAATGCTGGAAGATAGACATGGTTTCACCTTGTTGACGGCGCACCTGGCCCGTGATCACACAGTAGATCATGAGCAGTGGTTTATGCTTTAGAAACTTTCTGCAACAATCTGCTGCCTCAGCGTACACATCCATGATGATAGCAAGCACCATGTTCAACATCACCATGACCTGAAGTCGGCAAACTTTTGCAGATCGACCAACCAGTCTTCTGGACGTCACGACAACTTCGAGACGGGGACTCTCAGCAGTCATCTAAGGAGCATACCAGGAGAACCATGTAGATCCAGACCCACAGCAGCGTAATGAACCAATCCTGCTGAATCTCACGCATTGCTGGGGGACGTCTTCATCGACTTTTCCGCAGCCTCTGAAGACATGTAACCCCAGTCGTACTCACCCTCCAAAGCAAGCTGGAGGCACCTTGGTCACCAACAAAGGTCTACGTGCTTCCGTGATTTAAGCCCTGTGCTTAGTGACCAAGCCAAGTGACATGGCAAAGCCACTTAGGGGTGTCGAAAAGACCTGCTGCACATGGCCGCGTGTCATGTAAGCTGCTTGAAGGCATCATACCCGGCCTGCATCCTTCGTCCAAACATGATCATGCCGGCAATGGCGAAACCAAACCATGTGGGTATGAGAACCTGAGCAGGGTTGAATGTCAACCAGCCCTGACCACTCTCACACGAACAAACAGCAACTATGCGACCTTCTCGCCTGAAACGAACCATATCCAAAGCGCTAAAGTCGCTGGTGCGGACGCGCAATATGTTTCAAGCTCACAGTTTGCAATGATGCCGGTGCCTAGTTCGATCAGACTGTGTCATACTGCGAGGTCTGCCTTTCTGCTACAAGCAACCCTTAACTCAAGCCCTGCTCAGCGAGCTTCGGTGCTCTGCTGTGCAAGCCCTTAGTTTTCCCATCTTGCAATTTCAATCTGCTCACCGCTGCTCACAGGTTGCTGTCTTACTAACGACTATTGCATTGTCTGACTGCCTACTGTGGTCTATTCACTAACTGTTGGGTATGGTTCCTGTTTGACTATGGCCGACATGCGGATCACGTGTCCAAGGTGAATGCGAGGCCTCCAGCTTTCTCTTCACAGTTCACGGTTTGCCATTTTACTATCTTTGTGGCAAGCTGCTTTGACAACTTAGTTTACTCTGGCTGCGCAGATTTGAAACTTCCCGCGACAATGCTCTAGCATGCGGGCGAGGCAGCGAGCTGAAGCACCGGAGTCGGATGCTGCTCTCCGTCATGAACGGATGCACATCCAGCTTGCCGGAAATATCGTGCTGGGCACATCAGCGTTGCACATTGCAGCCGTGCACAAAACAAAAACGGCCCAGGAGTAACATTTTTCGACGTAGATCTTCAGCGACGCGAGACAGCTAGTCACGCAGATTGTGCCAGTTTTCTCGCTTTCTTGTTGCCTGCATTTGCATGTGTGTGTGTGTGTGTGTGTGCGCGCGCGTGTGTGTGTGTGTGTGTGTGTGTGTGTGTGTGCGTGAGTCTAAGCATTCACGCATTTGTGACTATGTACATACATACATGCATACATACATACATACAGATAGACTGATAGACATAGTGCACGCATATGGGTTTTCAGGGCTATGGAGAGAAAGTCATCAACTAGACGTATGATACTACCTGTAAGCTTCCCTAAACGTATTCTTTTGATTTACGCCAGCTTAATATCAGATAACACTACTAGTTTTATGCAACAAATGCAGTTGGAATACTGAGAATAAAATCGAGGGCTCAATCTATCGAACTGTATACTACTGAGGTATCAAAAGCACTTACTTTAACGTCCATGTAGCTAGCAATCTGTGCATGAATGTATATGTTCGATTCAATTATTGCAAAGACTACCAAATGCACCGTATTACTATAATACTTAGAACTGATTTGACATAAGTAAATAAAAACTCCGCCTGCAGCTGTTTGCGTACTTGTGAAAATGATATTCTACAGCTATATACTAAGCTACATCTTCATGTAAGTATAACGTTGTCCCTACAGGCACTACTGTGAATATATTGCTTTCTGAGTTCTAATCGGCAGACAACAAACCCTCTATGCTGTTTATATATGTAAATCTGATGATTGTTAGCTCAGCAAGCCCTATGCTTGAATTGATCCGAGGATTCAATTCAATATACCCAATCATCTAATTACCAACATACAAAAAAATCATGTTTCTGCAGTCAGTAATCCGTATAAGTATGTCATTATCCCTGGGTGTAGTGATATCATATGAAGCATTGTAAATATAGTTTTCTGTCTGTTCGCGTTAACTGGCAAAGCACTTCATGAATAGCTTAGTTGTAGAGAGATTTCTTCAGGCTGTTTGGCTCCTATTCAAAAGTATAGCTTCCAAGGATCTACTATACTGCGACTATTAAGCAGCTATCTGGGTAAATCGCAACAAGGAATCTCGAGCCATGTTATTTGCAATTAGCAGTTAACAGACCCTGTAAATTCGATTGTATAACCAATTGCTGAGTACTTAACCTTATTTTTCCAAGAATGAAATGGTGCATGCTAAATGGTAACACCGAGGTCTTATACTTAATAGGCATGTTTAAACTATAAGACTATATGCTTGATATCTCAAACATATAGTCTAAGAACACATGTCTTTGTAGGGCCACATCTGTAGTAATTAACAAACCCTGGAAGTTCAATTCTATATTCAGCTGGCAAATAGTTAACCTTTTCTTTTCGCATACAATAAATAGAACACACTAAACGATGGCATCGAGGTACTATGCTTGGGAGGTGTTTTTAAACGTTACAAGTAGCTTGATTTCTTCAAACCAATAGTATAACAATAAATGTGTTTGTGGGGTTGACCACATACTACAACTGAAGCTAATAAAGCACACGGCATGGGGCGAGTTTTCCATACGAATTAAGCCGTCAACAGAATATGGCACTTGAATGGAAAACGTTTTGGTCGTGATCGCGCTTAGAATGGCTCTAGGCGAGCAACAAAAAAACAATACAAAAAAAAAATACCACCAAAAACAAAAAAAACACTACCAAAAAAACATTATTTCAGTACTCTTCCAGAATAGAATTAGAATTCTATATTAATGGGAGCACCCACCAATGTTCTTATCTGAAAACCTTGGTCTTTGGGGGGGGTAGCATATATATATATATATATATATACGTGCACATATATACATATGCATATATTCTTTACTTATATGTGCACATGCATGTATGCACGTGTCCATGTGTATGTGCATATGTGTAAAATGTAGATGTGTGCATGTGTATATGTGTATGTGCCTGTACAACTGTATACATGTATATATGTACTACTGTATGTGCGTAGCATGTAGTCTACGGCATGTTTAGGTTTAGGCCCAAAAATGCTATACTACACATGTATGTGTATGCCATGTATATGTACAACACATATGCGTACAAGATGTATATGTATGGGTCGATGTATATGCATATTACAGAACTTGGTTTGTACATTACATGCAATTTTGTAAATGCACATACACATGTTTTGTGTATTAGGTGTGTTGCTGTATATGAACTTGCATGTGCATCTGCATGCGTCTATGAATTTGCTAGTATGTATGTATGCATGCATGTAGAGATGCATCAGGGGCGAGATGACCCGGCAGCAAGATGCAGCAAGTATCAGTGCCGCGCACCATGACGCTGGGCGGAACGCAGCGTTCTTATGTTCTTATGAGCTTTGACAGCTTTGACAACTTTAAATCAACGAAGAAAATCAGTCGGACGAGAGCGTCGCCTTTGAGCTGCCCGACAATAACGGCAATGCGCCTTGCTACCAGGGATGGAAAGCACGAAGCGTTCCCCCGACATCAGCTCAGACAGCTTGCATGTCGGCAAGATGGAGGGCGCCCGCTTTTGACGAGAAGCTGGCCTTGATGCTAATGTTGCACCCCGCTCATTATCTACCGTGCAATAATGTCGTGTTGTTGAGGGTGTTGGGTACCCGCTGTGTTGTGGAGCTCTTCGTCGGAGTTGCCTGGCAGCCCGCCAGCACGTTGCGGTTGGCTCCGTGCATTCCTCGATATGTGTGCATCAAGCGCGAAGGGTTAGCGGTTTCGCTTGACGGTTTGGCTTCCTACGCTCCTCCATTTGTGCATGTCGCGTGTGCGGGTTTAGCTGAGCTTCGGTGCTTAGGTGTTTGGTAGGTTAAGCGCTTAGGGGTACGGGGCAGCTACTCGGTCAACAATAATGGAGTCTGTCAGTCGTGGTTTTCACGGGGCGAGGCCGGGCTGCCAAGTGATGAAACCGAAACAAGGCCAAACGACATCCCTACGTCCGTCAGGCACTTTGGACACCCCTTCACCCATGATCAGAACTCAGGCGAAGAAAGAAAAGGCCGACCGACTTACGTCCCCCCCGATTGGCCATTACTAAACGCAGTTAATCTTAAGGTGTTGTGTCACAGGACGGCCTCCCCGGCAACTGTTGTGAAGGGAATACGTTTCGGTTGCACTTGCGGTCTCGCGGGTGGCTCCGGGACTTGGCAGATGTTGTGCGTTTGCTCGTTTCTTCATGCCACACATGCGGCTTGGTACTGCGGCTTCACAAGCTTAGCACAGCAAGCATAGTTCCCGGCGATCAAGAAGTGGGTCAAGTCAACCGTCGTTGCCTGCAGCTTGGAATTTTTTACATATTCCAACAGGCCTGTGCAAAGCGCCTGAAGGGTGGAGGTGATGATGGCAAGTCGCGGCTGCCACTGCAAGGACAAGAAGCAGCGGGCCCTGTGGCAGACAAAGAGGAGAAGATGTGCATCATACTACATCTGACCGTGCACGGTGTAAAATCAAGCGCTGAGTCTAAAGATCTGACGGTAGCGACTACCCACCTCTAAAACCGTCCTAGATTTTCCTGAATACGGGGAGTGAGACCTACTTGAAGCTCTTTTCATGTCACCTTGGGCTCCGGCATAAAGAGAATGTGAGCGTAAGAGATGAAGATTCGTTGATACGAGGAGAACTGCGCCTAATCGGACAGCCCATGCAAGTCGGAAAGCTGTCGGCATGCTGAATGCAGCCATGGGGCCATCGAGTCTGACAAGCTCATTACTGCCTTGGCATTGTAACTCTACTGGATTGGAAGGCTGGTCGGCAAACTCAGCAGAGTAATTCAGCGCTTCCACGCTGTGTGCATCTGTGTGCAGTGTGTTGTTTAAAGGTAACCGTAACGATCGGACACAGTCTTCGAGGCATGCACAGCTTTGACACAAAGAACACTTGCGCACTCTTAATTGCATCTTACTGACCTACAGGCTGCTGAAGGTACTTCCTTCTGCCTCAGGCCCGGACTAGTGTACTTTGCGTGTCAAGATAGTCGAAATAGTCCTGTGTCATTGATTGCAATGCACTTGTTGCAAATCCATCTGTGCAGCTGGACAACGCTAGTCATACCGTCATACCATCAGAATCGCCTCGATGCTGGCCATCACCATTTTGCGGTACACTTCCTTAGACTGCAAACTCTGCAATAAGGGACATGTGTCGAGCAACATCTTTGGCACGGGCCAACCCGAAGAGCATACCAAGATGAGCCCAACCTTGGCTGCTCACAGTATCTGCGAAGGAACACGGATAGATGTCAAATCCGAACCATCGGGCCGCCTTCTTGGAAAATGCTAAAACAGATAACCGTTAAGGCCCAGTCTTCCACGCGAACAACTGTACAATGTGCACATTTGAGCGGTTCACGGTGCAGTACCACAACCGGACAACGCCCCAATATTGAAAGCGCTGCTAGGCCACAATTTTACAAATTTCGACAGATTGTCCCCTACACATGCGGTCAATTGCGTAGCTGTGGAAAACTGTCCAAGGCCTGGGTGGTGCGTTCGAGCTTCAACACGAACCTGAAAGCAAGTCTGCTACGAGCACGAATTTTTCATTCAGGCCCTAATCGCTGAAATTGGTGACAGTTTCGGAAGAAGCCGCGATGTTCAGAAAACCGAAAGGCACGAACGGAGCCATGAGCTGGAAAATTGAGGGTCAGAGGCACTGGTAAAGCAACTCAAAACCGTCAAGACTATACGACGAATACTGTATCATGGGGCTGGCCACGAACGAAAACGCGCGTGAATACCAAGTGGCCAACTTATACCGAACCTCGTGTGAAACCCAGAAACCAGTGGTCCCAATGCAAGAAGGTGCCGGGGAGCAAAGCATCAAGCACAAAAGGAGCGATGGGTAGCGGGGAAATCCTGAACAAAGTGATGGAATACCCATCAGCGTCTCATCAACCTGGAGTATACAAACCGGCCCCACAATGAGTGATGGCAAGGAAATCCTCTCACAGGATCGATGGCTTGCAAACCACAACCAAAACAACGACTGACTGGGTAACTTTGCCTGCGGACATTTGATATCGTTCCAACTTACTTGGCAACATTGAACTAGATCGCTTTTTGCCACGATGCTTAACTATGTCGATAGCATTATCTACCTACTGGTGTGTAAACACACAGGTCATTACAGGAAACCGAAGCAGCGGCAATCTTGAAATTTTCCACTCTAGTGTTGACCTTGTATGTAGATCCCCCTTGCAGGAGAACGTAGTTAGAAGCCGCCTGCAATTTCCGAGGCGGCCAGGCCAGGCGAAAGTCAACAATCATCGATGTGGCGTGGAAACCGTTCGACACTCAGACCACAGCAGGAATCTGTACGAGTCTCTGCCAGCAGGCCCCAACACGCGCCTGGGGCCGCCTGGGGCCTGCATCCTTTGGGGTGGAGACTGGGGGTGATTCGCTTTGGTTGAAGCTTGTGAAGGCTGTGCCGGGGTCGAGATGGCTTCTGTCCCTTCCACAAACTTCGACTGGCAAGTCTTTGCCGAACTCGCACCAAGCAGGATCTGATGCGATCTTGATTGAGGTACTGCTAACCAGCATCGGGTGTTTTGATGGTTTTCCTGGTGCCAGACAGCCTCGGCTAGTGGACCAGACAGATTCGAGTAATGCTGAACAGGCTCAGGTTGACCAAAGCTTAAAGAGTGCATAGCAAACGGACACAGAGACATCACCACAAGTAAGTAACCATCATGGCTCGGACATCACAAGCGGCCAAGCGCCTCGTAGGGACTCCAGCAACGTTTTTCAGACTCCTCCCGTCCTCCCAAGTTGTTTTTGAAGTTGAACCGCTCCCCCCAGCCAGCAGAGTCAGCATGAGCATCAGTACAGCCCAAGCTGTTTTGAAGCTCGGAACGGCAGAACAGTAGCAACAGTGCGATGAGCATTTGCAGCACCGGCATCTGCAAGTCTAAATCGTCTTCGGGTTGCAGCGGAAGACACCAGTCAGCACGGGGCCGCTTCAGGGTTCAAGAACCGAACTGTTCACGGCATGCTTGCACATGGTTGCAGGCTTCAACCCCGCTAAGGGTGAAGCCAAATAAGCAACTGAGCCAGGTAATGGAGTTGATCAAGTTGAAGTGGCCAAATATCTTCCCTGCCTGTGCCGACAGATACTTCTCTGTACTTGTCACTCATCATGAAGCACGGCAGCATTAATGAATGCTGATTTCTGAAAATGCTGGTGTCACTAAGCCAGTCTGCATCATAGTGTGGGTCATGGTCTGTGCCTTCATGTCTTTCGAAAATTCACGGGCCTCAGTTGCAGCTCGGTCCTCTGGCTTGCTGGCTTCCCTTCACGCTAAGCCGAGGACCATAAAGGCCGTGGATGCTAAGCCTCAAAGCCCGAAACAGTGCGAGAGACACTAAGTAGAGCTGAGAGGCTCGCAGAAACATGAATAGCCTAGGCACACATGCACAAGAAAACGATGTCCACAAAGAGGAGCAGGGCGCGGTTGTGCCGCGGCCAGGTCTTCAGAGTAGCAACCTGGAATGCAGAGCAGGCCCCGCAGCACTGCACATCAGATGCATGCAGACATTGAGCAAGCCTCGATGTTCTGCCTGGTATACACACCTCCACCACGACCTAGGAATTCAAATGACAAGCCAAGGATTATCTGCTATGGCTATGCAAGGCTAAGGAAGTCCTTGCAGTAGGCGCGAAGCTGAAATAGAACTTGAACTGCACTTTGATCAACCGAGGGATGGCCTCGACAACCCCACGGCATCGAGACAGAAACAGCTTGAAAGCCCTTCCCCCAAAGGTCGTCACGAGCTGGTAGTTGAAGGCTACTACCTGTTTCGCGCAGCTGGTCTGGAAATGTCAGTCCAGCGGGTTGCGATGCTCGTTGGCAATCAAGCTCTCGGACGAAGCGATGTGGAAGACTCTAGAACTTGACAGGCTTGCATCTTGATGTGATCCGTAGCAGGGCACGCAGCCACAGGCCTTCGTCTCTAGAGACAGCGTCTGCTCATCGATCCATCCTCTGTCCTCTGAAGGGATGCTAAATTCTTAGATTCTAGACATGCCGACCCGGCCAACTAGCAGGACAGGGCCGCAGGCCTTCAAGTACTGGAATCGCTTCCTTGTATTGTTTCATGCACGCTGTGGGCTGACAGGGGCTTTGCTTGGGTGCTTGCTCACTAGCATCTAAGGGTGGCATCTGCAGCATGGGAAGCTTCAGGCGTGCCGTTGGGATGGGCCGATATGGATGCCTACATGAAAGATAATGCACACTCTCCTAATATGTGAGCACCCGCCAAGCGCCCGACATGTTCTTTTCGAGGGGGTCTCGCGCCCGCAAGGTAAACCTGAAGTAGCTCTGCAGTCAGTCTGCCACGCACTGAGAACAACAAAAAGACCAAGCTCCAAGCTGAAAGCCCTTCTCGCCATCCAAAATGCGGGAGAGCTGGCACGCAAGGCTGTGTGCTTTCTGGTGCAGGGCTTGAAAAAGGTCGAGAATGTGGAAGTGAGCTTCCCTCGCGGAACTGTCTATTCAGCAGACAGGAGGAATCCATGCCAGCCCGGAAGCTTGTCAAGGATTTGTTTGCATTTCTAACCAAGAATGAATGGACATGCAAAGTTTATTGCATGTGCCAAAGATGACGTCGTGCTGAACACGGCTCGGCTGCAGATCATCCTATACCACGTGTCTTGAAAGTCCCGCCTAGCTCGTGCGAGCGACAGCAAGTGCACATCCCAGCTCTCATTGCTTCGACATCACCCCAATTCGCATGAAACCACTTGAGTCACAGAGCTGCTAGAAATGGTCAGCATTCCAACCGCAAGACTGAAGCTGGTTCACAAAGCCACGACCTGCGTCTGCTCCACCGGCATCGATCCAGCCAACTCCTGATGTACGAACACCACGACCAACATGTGCGTGTGTGTGTGGGCGCATGTGCGCTTGCGCGGGCGGGTGTGCGTGTGTGCATGCGCGTGTGCGTGCAGTGCGTCCCTCTCTCTTGGTATGTCCATCTTCATCTGGCATGAAGGCCTAGGGCCTATGGGCGACCCCGGGTATGACAGTCTCTCTTTCTGTGGCCCAAAGTCCAAGAGAGTTTGCAAGACACATGCTTGCTGTTGATGAACGACGATGCCTATAGCGGCCTTGCCCTTGCTGTGACAGGATTCCCTCAAACGCGACGCCCAGGCCCTGTCCCTCCCGAGCCCATCCCAGTACCCAATGCACACATAGACAGGGAAGTCTGCCGCTTGTACCGCCCTGTGCTACTGCTATTCCTTGCTCGGCCGTATCATTCAAAGGTTAGGGCGGCTCTCTCTCTGTCTCTCGCTCTCTCACTCTCTCGCTGTCTCTCCACACAATCACCGCTCCAGAGCCTGTTCTCAGCTCTTGCCGTTACCGTCCCGGCCTGGCCCAAGGGCGCCAGTCGCCGATCCAGAGTCCAGATGTTGATGGACCGCGCGGGCCTGCATTAAGACACGAAATCTGGCAGAGCACTTCACGTTCCTCAGCTTCTTGTAAATTTGGAGCTCTGCCCCCTGACGTGCGAGAACAGCCTTCTCAAAAAGCTGTGGCTTCACCCAAAGACAGCCAATCCAAACCCATACAGCACCTATCAGCTATACACCTAGCACAAGTAGCACGATCTCGGATGCGTCTGCTTGTCAAGCAGTACAGGTTTGTACGACATTCAATGCACGAGCCACCGAAGCATCGGCAACTGCTTCCAGCACCCACAGAAACGGTTTCACCAGGTGAAGGTGGCAGTCTACAGTCTTCGCGCCTGTCTGTGGCATTGGAGACGTTGGCGCAATCTGGTGTAACGAAGCCTGCACTGGCACAAACCAGGCAAGTACGCGGTTAAACTGTTTTTGCCTCGATTGCAAAGCAGAACAACAAATGCAGAAACACTAATGGCATTGGCAGCAGCCAAACACACTAACGATTGTACGGAACACACTGCAACTCTTACAAGCACAACAGGGCTGCGAGAGACGCACTGAAGTCGAACGGCTGAGAGGAATCAGCGGATTGCGACAGCCCGTAGGAACCGAGTTTACCAGGAGCTTCGGGGGAACAGCATCGCTCCTTGAGTAGTGCACTCAAATTTCCATCGCCCAAGCTTTCAGCGGCGAACATGCGTCAGGGCTCGCATTTTAAAAATAAAAACTGTTCTGGAGAGAACTGATCTCTCGCTTGCGCGTAGAATGACAATCGCACCTGGTGAATCTTGATTTGGCTAAAAGCACCGACCTTGACACTCCTCAGCTTGGCAAGTGGAATGCTCCGGGAAAACTCTTCACTGCAATTGACCTTCCGCGACCACACCGTGAAAACTCGCCGTATTCCGTGATCTGCCTTCGGCGTTCCAGTGACGCCAGATATGACCAGATTTTTCCCTGTGTTCCGGGCCAACTGCTATTGCTGTAGAACTGGGTCAATACTCATGTGCACACATGCACACAGACACACACACACACACACACAACGCTCAGCACGGCCCGCAGGGTGACGAGTTGCATCCTTGTCAAGATCGACTCTCGTGGCCGTGGCTCGTCCACATTTTCTGAATTCCATCCCGGGCCATCCCGTGATGCCCCGTTGGATCCCAAACAATGCTGCACTCGGAAATGATGCACTTGTACGAGAGCTGCCATGCGTCTGAGGCACCTTCTGGAGTCACAGACGAGATGCGACACAGACATGGCAGGGACTGGAACCCTGTCTCCGAAAATGCCCTGCACCGAAATTCCACGAAGCGGAAGCTCTGCGGCAAGCAAGCTCTCGCTGGCAGCTTTGAATTGAAACTTTCCTGACCCGGCTCTCAAGATCAGAACATAGGTGGGTGCGGGAGTAACAGGTACCAGTTTGGGGAGTAACGGAACCCAGAAACTCGAACATAACGGAAACTACAGCTAGAAACCAAGCAGGCGAAACTTTTGGACCTATTTTCGGTTCCCTTACATTATAGTCATTGATGCTCACACATTTTTCATTCACGGCATCCACAGCTTAACGTTGAATAACATTCAGGGTTTAGCATGCCAGCGTGATTGTGGGAGCCCACGCCCCGCACCCCTTACACCCAACGCTCTGCCACCCCGCCGCCCCCCGAATACCCCTTCTAGGCTGAAAGAAACCACTGCATTCTTCACCACTCCAGCCCTCCTGCTCCTACCACCTACCACCCTGTACATACCCCCCTCGCCGGACACTCTCCTCCATCGTTTCGATACCGGTTGTGGCACAAACAAACACCTCTACCAATCGCTTGCACTTCTTCGCGGAATTGGTCTTTGGTCTATGAGGGACTGTACTTCCGACTATGCTTCTTTCCCACTTGACAATCCTCATCAGTCTCGCTTGCGCATTGAACCGCTGTTTGTCCTTTGGATTTCTTGATGTCCTTCTGCGCACCGCATCGAGACAAAATCCAAGCCGGATTGGCATGCTATGCAGTGGAACGTAGCCATGACTGTCAAGCTGATTGACAGCACATCCCATTTCCAAAAGAATGCGGCCTGCAGCAACATGGTGGTGTGCAACGCAGGTTATCGGATTAAAGGCCCTGGCCCGGCTCATATCAACCAATTGCTGCGCAGGGGCTCCCACGCCTACAATGGAGTCTCCAGCCCGACATGAGGGACTGTGGTCAAACCAGCCCTCGTCGTGAAATTCCTGCTGGCCGGAACTGAGTAATGTCTGAAAGGCATGCTGGAATTGTAGGTCTGAAGCCCCTGTACGTCCGGGACCGGAAAACGGTCCCTGAGTTTTGACGCCAAAATGGCATGCTGGACAAGAAAGTAAGTCGCGGTGCCTGTCGTTCCCAGTGATTGTTATGGGAACCGGGGGTTTCTGTTCGGAGTGGGTCCTCGTTCCTCTTACAGGTTCCCGTTACGGACAGCCTGTTCCCGTTACGGCAACAACTCGTCCACAGGTCTGTAAAGCTTCGACCCAGCCAAGCAAACTATGTTGCTTCGACTCCTTACGCGAATTTGCCCCTCTCTCAGAGTATGCTGCAAATCCCGACTGCATGCATCCAAAAGTTCCCGGACAGCATATCGGCATATCAAGGTCTGAAGAATGCCATCGCCTGTTGCAACCAAAACCATCCCTCAATGAGCCTCATGCTCTCGTACTACAATCGCCCCATAGCGCCGGCCGCGTTGCTTGAAACCGCGACTCGGCTGATACTTAAGAAGCTAAGGAGCACCGAAAACATGAGAGCCCTACGCAGCACAGACGATTCGGCTCGGGCATGACACAGAGATAACGGAAACTTGGGGCCATTAATCTACGGCTTTGAGAGGGCTGCTTTGTTGCCGATTCGCTGACGTCCCCATCCACTGCTCACGATCGAAACCATCATCGAACCGATAACAAACCCTGACAACTTCTTGGCATTGTCGGTTGCCCTTGAAGCCTTCATCTGGGCATTCCAGAAGGGACTCGTTCCTCGGCCAGAGGTGACTGGAAGCTCGAGTAGATTTGCCTCTCCGTGAATCTGGGCCAAGCACGTACCATACCAGTATGATGCATTTTTCCCAGGCTCAAAGAGATCAGATATGTTGCCACCTCGGCGCAAACGGCATATGATGTTGAGATCCATAATGCAACTGCCGGGGTCCGCTCCGAACTGCTCTGCATTGAGCGTATCCTTGCCGCACGAGACGACACGCAAAGGATCGCAGACGCTTCAGCCATGTCCGGGCACCTGGGGAAAGCATGTCAAGTGCTCCACGAGCGGATCCTGGCAAGGCAAGGTCGTAAGGCCGACTCCGAAAGGATTCCTCTGTGTACAAGAGTCTGTGAGTCTAGTTGGCAGTTGGCAGTCGGTCCTCACAAGGCTGCCGATATCCCCGTTCAAGGCTCATGATTATGCCACCGAGCACCTTGAACGGCTGCATGTTTTCTGAACATGCTACAATTGCACCACCCTATGCAGCGTCGAAAGGCCTGATTGTACTGCAGGAAGGTGCCTCGCTTTTCCTGGTAGCTTTGGAGAAGATGTTGGCAACGTCGCGCAGTATGGCTTGCTAGACACACAGCGCGCGTCGCAACATTCCTCGGGAAGTTGGCGACCGTAGATGTCAGTGTCACGGAGAAAGAACGGAATGAAGACATTTTCCAGATAGTTCCACCTCCAAGCTCACTACGATCTCCCATCAGAACCAGACAACATCTAGGCCGGAGAAGAATGACGGGGCCCTCGCACATCCGCGGACGTGGTCAAACCATCCAACCTGAAACTGCCATGCAAAGCAACTTAACCGGCAAGACGTGCCCAGTTGCATTCAGCTGACATTTCTGCGGTGGGATCTTCATCTTCACCCTGGGTGCATTGAGATAGACGGGACCAAGGACAGCATCACAACATGGGTCTCAGGCCAAGAGTGGGTTCAGGACATTGCGCACGGGGAACTCTGTGATGTGCTTGGACGGCACATCCTCAAGAACCATGAAATCAACAAACTAAAATTGCGACTCATCCGAAGGCCTCATGCAGAATGGAAGACAAAGAGTAGAAGCCAAAGAAGGCGAGCGTGATTGGAAGCATCACACCTTGTGGTTCCAAGCTGATTAAGTCTGACACGAGGAGTTTGCGAGATGCATCATCAAAGCTGCAGCCACAGGCTACTGCTCTCACCAAGAGCCTGATTCGGTAGACATGTACCTAGGAAGGCACATCCCCAGAAGCGGCGGTTCGTATCCTCGATGACCTCGTGCAAAAGACGGCCAGGTATCGCACACATGCACGGAGATAGCAAACTCCCACCTCCTTCAGTGCATGTCTCTCTACCATGCGCGTAGAGTTGGAAATTGCCTGAAGCGAAGCCGACGATAATCATCCAGAACAGGTACGCATCACTGCTGAAGGAACAGTACAAAGTCGACATGCTGGGAGTCGTGCGGCACTTCTGAGGACTTGATGAGCCTGCTTAACCTTCCATTACACGCACTGGAACGGCAATCACAATGCAGGGCCTTTCTCAGAGGTGCAGAAGACGTCTCTGTAAGGCTCCTGCAGGCCTGGAGATGTCGCTCATATCTCCATCTGCCTGCGCAACTCTTCTGACCAGATGGGCTTCCTCGCTGTTTTCGATGTGCGCCCCGACTGCATCAAGGGCCCCATCTTGTCAGCAATAAGCATCCCAAGGGCACAAAGCCAAGGTCTGTGCGAGCAGGCTTGGGACAGTTGTTCCCGACCCAACCTCTTAATGGACTGGGCGAGAGACTCATGGGGCGGGAGTAACTTGCACTGCTTGTGGGGGTCTGCTGTTCTACTGGTGGCCCGCCTCACAGAAACTTCTTGAACTTCACGACCCAAAGCCTTTCCCCATGCCAACCACAGGGGAGGCACAGGCGTGTCCGTGCCGTCTGCCATTGTGGCGGCTGCGTGTAACACGAGCACGGGCAGCAGATCAGCAGCAATTGCACAGAGCAATGCAAGTTGCCGTGCCGAAGCAACAGGAGCATCACCTCCTTGGAAGTTGCTGCTATGTCACAACTGCGGAGTCCAACAAACGCCATAACCAAAGCCACCATGCACATCGGAATCATGATAGTGTCGTCGCCCGTGTATCCCTGCCTCCGTCATAGTGGCCAAGGGCCGCAACAAGATGACCTAGCAAGCAAGCACCCGCTTCGAACCTGAATGTCCTCCCAAAGCTGCTCAGTTGCCTGTGTTCCTCCCAGTCCGGCCCGCTCTAGGGCATTGCTGCTAGGGCCAATCGCTATTCGCAGCCATATCTCTGATATTGATGAGCCCGCAAACGGCAGCAATTTGCACCCAATCTTTCAGAGCGCTTGTCCAATGCAGCAACGAAGCATTACCATTGCCGTTGCAAACCTTTTGCCCACAGTCGAGGTTGTCAGTATCGTCGCGCAAGCCTTGACTAGCTGACGCAACAGCTACTGTTGTGTACTGGTCTGGCTGCAGCAGAGGGGCACCGGTTTGCTAGCCTGCGGCTTGGCACCGGCGAAGCGACCTCAGCACCGTGGCCAGTACACTAGAAAGGCAGAAACACAACATGATACCGTGATTCGGTCTGAGAACCCAGCGATACTCGCTTGGAACGACCACTCCCGGTAGCAACAAAGACACAAGCTCAACAGCAAAGGTCTGGCAGTTGTGGCTCAGCAACTTGTAGTCCTGCCAGAAGGACGCCAATGCTGTGAAAAACTCTTGAATTCTGGCAGAGATCTCCTTGCCGGGCCACTTGGGCTTGATCTTCTTAATCATCTGCCACGGCATCACAAGGTCGCCAGTGCGCACGACTTCTTTAGGACGAACACAGAGGGTATCCCAGCCTGTTCCACACGGGCGTTGCTGAGCTTGGTTTTACCAAGTGGTACAGCTGCCTTGTGAACTCCTTGTCCGTACCCTGCGACACGACAGGTACAGCAGCAGACAGCATGGTGGCAGGATTCCCAAACAAATTGCAGTTTGCCAACGGGATATGAGGACGCATGAACAAGGACTAGGATATCACGGCCAAAGATTCGCAGATTAAACGTTGCAGGTGCTGTGGTTCGTGCTTATGCGAGCTCGTAGCTTCCAGCTCAAATCAACACACGATGTGAGATTATTGAACAGTTCAAAGACATAGCTGAATTAAAAGAAGCCTGATGCTTGCAGCAAGGATCAACTCGTACACAGATACCGGCCTTTGTACACCCGAACGAACATAGTCCCAAATGCGATGTCTAAAGCACCAGGAAGAGCTTGCATTTGCAGTCACACTGTGATTGAGACTGTGTTCAGTTATTGGTTTTCATACTTTTCATGAGCTGAGTGTCCCACGCTGACTGCAGATAGGGTTCGGGGATTGCTGCCGGGATTTGGCGGGTTTGGAAACTTTGGGGATCTGGCATAGGCGGCATAGTACGTTGGGTTGAGAAGCAGAGGATTTCACACGCGGTTCCCCTAGACGCGACAGAAGTGAAATGTGCAAGCCAAAGACGGCCTCGTGGCCAGCACGATTCGACACCGTTTACACAATAGTAGTGCTCCAGACCATAGACCTGTGCAGGCAACCTTCTCACCACAACAATCAAACCGTGCTTCCAAATGCCGGCCTCAACACCAGTGTGGTAAATGGGAAGACCGATAGCCTTCACCTGACTTTGTAAATCTCCATCAGCAATGTCTTCTCTGCATGTGTAGGCGCTGCAATTATGTAAGATCCTGGCTGCCTTGGCCAGATGGTAAACCTGCAACTTAACCTTCGCAGGGCAAGGTGTACTTCAGCATCAAAAGCCCAACCAAATGCTGAAAGCAATCATGAGAAAGCCTAGCCTTAAGAAAAGGGAGAGGCACAGGTCCATACCACTTCCAGACCGTGCCTCGCCATCGAAGAGCATGCCGTCATCGAGATTGCCCGCAAACGCTTCAGTCGAGGGGGATGGCCTGGCTGCACGGGTTAGCAACAAGCCGAAGGACGATTGGTATGGATATCACTCTTCAAATCGAGAAGGCGCAAGGCTTCACGATGCTTCACGTAACCCCGACTAAGGGCTTCGAGACTTACATCGACGTCAATTACCTACACGGACACCAAGTCCTTCGATGCCCACGTCAAGGGAAGCTAGGCCAGCTATGTCGAGCATGGACGGGGTAGTGACGTAGCTGTTCATCGATGCCAGGCAACTTGGCACATGAGGGAGATGAAGTGGCGTGCACTAAGTGTACTTTCCGTGATACGAAGATGACGATGACGATGATGAAGTCTATGATGATGGTGATGACGGTGATGATGGTGATGGTGATGATGATGACTATGATGATGATGTGCAGGAAGTAAAGAAGAGGCAGAACGGGCATAGCTCGAGCAACCAGACAGCGAATCAGCACGTGCACTTCTCCCCAGCTGCACTAGCCTCAAATTCACAAAGACCGTGTCGGGCACCATGGCCTGCAGACAAAGCGAAAGCCAGGGAACATCTTTAACTTTGCTCGGCTTCTCTCCTCACGGCTCCGCACCCAGTCCACGGACTCCTTGTTAGCCTGAATCACTGCGACCCGTTGCCTTTACACGCTGCGCTGCGATTTGACTGCCTTCGCAGCCTCGAGCATCCACCTCTTCAGGGCTTCTCAGAGGCGATCTCAGGCCTCAGCCCCGGCCGCCGGGCCTCGAACCCTGCTCCCTCGCGGCGCTCGCGTCCATCTTGATGTGCACTGCAGGAGCGGCAAAGGCAAGAGGCAGGGACGGACTCGACCACTCGACCCCCATCCCGTCGGGGCCGGTCCTTCAGCACGCTCAAGACGAGGCTTCTGCTCCGGGCCCGGCGGGCTCGGCGGGCCCGGGCTCGGCGGGCCCGGGCTCGGGCCCGTCCGAGCCACTTCCTTGGGACCTCGTCTCTGTCTCTCTCGAATCTCTCTCTCTCTCTCTCTCTCTCTCTGTCTCGAATCTCTCGAATCTCTCGCAAGGGCATCTCTCGGTCCTCGAGCATCCCGCCTGAGCCTTGCTGAGACTTGCTTTGTGGTTTTGCCTTCGCTCTGGTCTTGGCCTTGGCCTTAGCCTTGGCTGCTTGCGTCTTTTCCTTCGGCTTTGCCGTTCCTGGCCTCTCACCTGACCCAGGAATAGGAATGCCGAATCAGATATGCCCCTCAGGGAGTGTGGATGCAAGGCACACGCCACCTCTTGAAGGTGAGCCAGAGGGTTCCTTTGAAGCTTCCGGTGTGCTGGCTCCCTTCAAGCAGGCCCATACTCGCATGTGAAAGCCAGAACGCTTTGACCAAAACATTCCAAGCGCGCAGATTTTTGCCAGTCTGCCTTCTCTGCATCTGGCTGAGACTGCATGCGCTGGATGCCAGGTTCTTCAGAAGGCTTGACATCCTGCACGGTGTGCACTGGACGAGCCTACGGATATCTTGGGCTGCGCCTCTTCGCTCTGGCACGCATCCTCCCATGCAAGGAGCTCCAGCTCCTCCTCAGCAGTTGTGAGCTGGGCCCTGAGCCACGAGAATCCACGAGACCTCTGAGTCGCTGAGGTCGTTTCAGTGGCTTCCGAAGGGCTTAAAACGGGCTGCAGCACTGGCTGCAGCTCGGGCCAAAGGAGAACCTTGGCCGAGAGAGATGCTTGAAGGCTTGGAAGTCCTGCTCTTCGCGGGGCTTAGCCGAAAGCGGATCTGAGTGCCGTGCGACGAGCAAGGCAGAAGTCTCTGGGGGTTGGATCAACCCTGCGACCTCGCAGTGTAGCATGCGCATGCGCAGGACTTCGGACACACCGTTCACTGGACTAGCAACAGCAGAAGCAGCAGTAGCAGCAGGTGCACAGCCGTTTCCCACAGCCTCGGGAGGCAAGTCATTCACGAAAGCATCATAAGTGTCCTCAGTGTTACACTCAGGACCACAGAGAGACGTGCAGAAGCGATGAGACACGTGTCCTCTCGCTGTATGCAAGCAGCATATTGCCGCACATCTGCATCCAAGAATCGGTGCACGGCTCCGTGTTGAGTTTTTGCGAGCAAGGCCCAAGCTTCTCGAAAGGCCACACTCATGCGCAAAGCATGCGCGATGTTGTGTGATGTGCAGCGCTTGGCTCTTATAGTGACAGCTTCTTGGAGCATCTGGATCAAGCATGAGCAAAGCAAGTGGCCCAGACCACAAAACCTCGAGATAGAGATTATTTGGCTTCGGCGTGACTCTAGAATGCATGAGCTGACAATCGTGCGCTTGACGCAAACGTGTCTGAAGCGCAAGAAAGGTTGTGTTGCTAACTAGCAGTCACATATGGCGAGCTTGCAAACTTCACCGGCCACAGATTCGATCTTTCAGCTCACGTATTTACACTGCACGCTGCGAAACGTGAAACCCAGCTGCAACCGACCGTGCATTGTTCGCTGATCTGAAGCAGCACATACGCTAAGTGCTCGAGAATGCAGCCGCATCTCAAAGCCGAGGCGGTCAGTAGAGCGTCTCTGCCAAGAACCGGCAATCGTTAGTGAAATGCTGTTGAGGGAGGGGGAGGGTGGCTTTCCGCACTCTGGGTGACGCTACTGCCCTTATGTACATGGATAGGCCTCACATCCAACGTCTCTTGG